TATTTTGGGGGTACCTTTTCACAAATGAAGGTTGACATGGTCGATATGATTGTTCCCATCTTGGAGACCCGACGTGATGCAAGCATGCCTGCCTTGACAAAAACTCCCACTACAATTTGAACATACCTACTGAGTTCCATAGTCCACGCTTAACACAATTGACTTGCTGCTTGTGACTGCGACATTATCCACGTCCTGGCACCGTTACTACTCAGTCTAGATCACACACAACGTCAGACTGTATGCACTCGACTGCCAATGGCAACACAGGAGCGAACACGACGTTGAACTTAATACAGCATTCACAATCAGCACTCAAAAGGGCGATGATCTAAATAAAGCTCTTCCTTTCTTCTCACAAAAACAGCGACTCGATCCAGGAGCTCCCTTGTCTTCTGGATTAAGTTAAAAATTACAAGGCTACGGAGAGGAATATTAGAAGTCGTAAACCCATAGAATTGAGTCGGCTGTTCAACGAAGTTTATAAAATTAAATTATTCCTTGGAACTGTTATTAAAGATAAAATGAAAGCTAAATTATAAAAGTAAAATAAAATGCAGGAAAATGGCACTTGCGACATCTACTGCAAATATTTTCCTTTTTAAACTGATTTGGATCAGATAAGTAAAAATCATACGTCTATACTCTAAATATTCATCATATTTCAAAATCGTACCATGCTTCGAAAAGAGAAGTCTTTAATAACTTTTGTTCTAATAAGCGTATTTTAAAGTACAGACGATTATTTTTTTTATTACCTTTTTATTGATTTCAAGGCGTTGTACCGCAACATAACGAGGGACAAGCTATATAAAGCAATAGTGGATAATTCAATATCCCTAATCAAATTCAAGCATCTTTTTCAAGAGTATTGTAAGTGTAATATAAAAACACAGATTGTATTTTCCAACGCATTTTTTTACAGGTAACGGTCTTAGACACATTGACGCCTCTAAAAGCTCTCTTTCTAACATTATCTTTAAACAATCATCAGAAATGCCAAAGATAAGAAATAATGGCGCTTTATGCTACAAAGATATTCAATTGCTTACTCACATTTTTCTTTCTTATCCCAGTGAAGGGATGTGTTATATTAGCAAAATTTTGAATCTTTTTTCTATAATAGTTACACAAGCCTCTCGAAAAAAGATGTGTAAGAAATGACTCAATTGTGTTTTGGTTTTTGGTTGATTTAAATTTCAATTGCCTTGAAGTTTATTGGATCAGCCAAGCGTTTCCTTAAACTTATCAAGTGTTTTAAATAAGATACTTCACCTTTTACAAAATTGCATGTTTTTAAATAACATTACTGTGAAACTTAATTTAGCTAATATAGGTGAGACTTGTTTTGAATTACTTATAAGACTGTCCCCCAACATCTGAAAATTTTGTTATGTCATTATTGTAAGCTTTGCAAAATTACCGAAAATCACGTAATGCATTATTCATTTACGTGTTTAAATGTAAACGAGTGCATTTTTTAATCCAAACTGCATTACTTGTTATCTTTATTGAGCACGATGAGCTTAAAAGATATAAAATTACTACTATCGTGATTCGGATGAATTTCCTTAATAACCAACGCTGAGCATCTGAAATAGTAATGACGTTTGCCTTGTCAATACAATTCCTTATTTCCACTCCATTTTCCAATAATTTTTGAGAGGGAAATACCTCGCAAAATTTCATTCGCTGTCCAAGAAAATAAATCCAGTCGAGCACTTCAAGGTCATCAAATTTAAGATCAAAGTAAACAACAAGACATAGAAAAAGTCATAAAATCGAATCGAATAAGTCATACCTTGGTCACTTATTTTGATCAGAGGATTGCAACCTCAAGAAGCTATTAACCTTCAACAAACAAAGTAGCATTAGAAAACGGAGAAAATCTCCATTTAGATGGGTTTATGACTCTGAAAAAGATTTAAAAAAACATTAAAATGAACTAGTTGGGGGAAAAAAAGTATTAGACATACTCCGTCGGTAAAAGCTGTTTGGAACTATAATGTTCACGGGTGTAGAGTCTGAAACAATAAAGAAAAGACTCAATTTGACTTCCTACCCTCAAATATGCTTATTTGTGAGCATTATACCTCCAGTAAAAGATTCAGATAAAAAAAAAACGTACTTTCTTTGTATAAATATACACTTTTTGATGAATTTGTGCTCCTGACCCTTAAAATACGAGAAACTCGCAATCTGGTGGCCTTAACAGTTTAGACAGGAGAGCGGTTTTGAAATTTTAATGTTAATTTAAGTTTCAACTTGTGATACCATCTCCGAGGCTGTCTCAACCTCTATCATGCCCAGATGTCTTGTATCCTATTTTTCAGATTGCGGATATGCCCAGTATTTTGATAGTCAAAAATAGAAATTCAAGGAGAGAAAATATTTTTTTTGTTTAATTAGATACATTATGCTTTTGTGTCTGATCTTATACACTTATGTAGGGAAGAGTGGGGTCAATTGTAATATTTTTTACTTAACTATTTTTAACTAACAAAAAATCCAATATATTATTAGTATTAATTGACAGAATTGTCCATAGGTATAAAT